ATGGTACATACTTACAACCAATGACATGGTACATACTTACAACCAATGACATGGTACATACTTACAACCAATGACATGGTACATACTTACAACCAATGACATGGTACATACTTACAACCAATGACATGGTACATACTTACAACCAATGACATGGTACATACTTACAACCAATGACATGGTACATACTTACAACCAATGACATGGTACATACTTACAACCAATGACATGGTACATACTTACAACCAATGACATGGTACATACTTACAACCAATGACATGGTACATACATGGTACAACTTACAATGACATGGTACATACTTACAACCAATGACATGGTACATACTTACAACCAATGACATGGTACATACTTACAACCAATGACATGGTACATACTTACAACCAATGACATGGTACATACTTACAACCAATGACATGGTACATACTTACAACCAATGACATGGTACATACTTACAATGGTACATAATGACAATGATGGTACATACTTACAACCAATGACATGGTACATACTTACAACCAATGACATGGTACATACTTACAACCAATGACATGGTACATACTTACAACCAATGACATGGTACATACTTACAACCAATGACATGGTACATACTTACAACCAATGACATGGTACATACTTACAACCAATGACATGGTACATACTTACAACCAATGACATGGTACATACTTACAACCAATGACATGGTACATACTTACAACCAATGACATGGTACATACTTACAACCAATGACATGGTACATACTTACAACCAATGACATGGTACATACTTACAACCAATGACATGGTACATACTTACAACCAATGACATGGTACATACTTACAACCAATGACATGGTACATACTTACAACCATGACATGACATGGTACATACTTACAACCAATGACATGGTACATACTTACAACCAATGGTACATACTTACAACCAATGACATGGTACATACTTACAACCAATGACATGGTACATACTTACAACCAATGACATGGTACATACTTACAACCAATGACATGGTACATACTTACAACAATGACATGGTACATACTTACAACCAATGACATGGTACATACTTACAACCAATGACATGGTACATACTTACAACCAATGACATGGTACATACTTACAACCAATGACATGGTACATACTTACAACCAATGACATGGTACATACTTACAACCAATGACATGGTACATACTTACAACCAATGACATGGTACATACTTACAACCAATGACATGGTACATACTTACAACCAATGACATGGTACATACTTACAACCAATGACATGGTACATACTTACAACCAATGACATGTACATACTTACAACCAATGACATGGTACATACTTACAACCAATGACATGGTACATACTTACAACCAATGACATGGTACATACTTACAACCAATGACATGGTACATACTTACAACCAAATGACATGGACATGGTACATACTTACAACCAATGACATGGTACATACTTACAACAATGACATGGACATGGTACAACATACTTACATACTTACAACCAATGACATGGTACATACTTACAACCAATGACATGGTACATACTTACAACCAATGACATGGTACATACTTACAACCAATGACATGGTACATACTTACAACCAATGACATGGTACATACTTACAACCAATGACATGGTACATACTTACAACCAATGACATGGTACATACTTACAACCAATGACATGGTACATACTTACAACCAATGACATGGTACATACTTACAACCAATGACATGGTACATACTTACAACCAATGACATGGTACATACTTACAACCAATGACATGGTACATACTTACAACCAATGACATGGTACATACTTACAACCAATGACATGGTACATACTTACAACCAATGACATGGTACATACTTACAACCAATGACATGGTACATACTTACAACCAATGACATGGTACATACAACCAATGACATGGTACATACTTACAACCAATGACATGGTACATACTTACAACCAATGACATGGTACATACTTACAACCAATGACATGGTGCATACTTACAACCAATGACATGGTACATACTTACAACCAATGACATGGTACATACTTACAACCAATGACATGGTACATACTTACAATGACATGGTACATACTTACAACCAATGACATGGTACATACTTTACAACCAATGACATGGTACATACTTACAACCAATGACATGGTACATACTTACAACCAATGACATGGTACATGACAGGGTACATACTTACAAACCATGACATGGTACATACTTACAACCAATGACATGGTACATACTTACAACCAATGACATGGTACATACTTACAACCAATGACATGGTACATACTTACAACCAATGACATGGTACATACTTACAACCAATGACATGGTACATACTTACAACCAATGACATGGTACATACTTACAACCAATGACATGGTACATACTTACAACCAATGACATGGTACATACTTACAACCAATGACATGGTACATACTTACAACCATGACATGGTACATACTTACAACCAATGACATGGTACATACTTACACCAATGACATGGTACATACTTACAACCAATGACATGGTACATACTTACAACCAATGACATGGTACATACTTACAACCAATGACATGGTACATACTTACAACCAATAACATGGTACATACTTACAACCAATGACATGGTACATACTTACAACCAATGACATGGTACATACTTACAACCATGGTACATACTTACAACCAATGACATGGTACATACTTACAACCAATGACATGGTACATACTTACAACCAATGACATGGTACATACTTACAACCAATGACATGGTACATACTTACAACCAATGACATGGTACATACATACTACAACCAATGACATGGTACATACTTACAACCAATGACATGGTACATACTTACAACCAATGACATGGTACATACTTACAACCAATGACATGTACATACTTACAACCAATACATACTTACAACCAATGACATGGTACATACTTACAACCAATGACATGGTACATACTTACAACCAATGACATGGTACATACTTACAACCAATGTACATGGTACAACATACTTACATAACAACAATGACATGGTACATACTTACAACCAATGACATGGTACATACTTACAACCAATGACATGGTACATACTTACAACCAATGACATGGTACATACTTACAACCAATGACATGGTACATACTTACAACCAATGACATGGTACATACTTACAACCAATGACATGGTACATACTTACAACCAATGACATGGTACATACTTACAACCAATGACATGGTACATACTTACAACCAATGACATGGTACATACTTACAACCAATGACATGGTACATACTTACAACCAATGACATGGTACATACTTACAACCAATGACATGGTACACACTTACAATTAATGACATGGTACATACTTACAACCAATGACATGGTACATACTTACAACCAATGACATGGTACATACTTACAATTAAGGACATGGTACATACTTACAACCAATGACATGGTACATACTTACAACCAATGACATGGTACATACTTACAACCAATGACATGGTACAAACTTACAACCAATGACATGGTACATACTTACAACCAATGACATTTTACATACTTACAACCAATGACATGGTACATACTTACAACCAATGACATGGTACATACTTACAACCAATGACATGGTACATACTTACAACCAATGACATGGTACATACTTACAACCAATGACATGGTACATACTTACAACCAATGACATGGTACATACTTACAACCAATGAAATGGTACATACTTACAACCAATGACATGGTACATACTTGCAACCAATGACATGGTACATACTTACAACCAATGACATGGTACATACTTACAACCAATGACATGGTACATACTTACAACCAATGACATGGTACATACTTACATCCAATAACATGGTACATACTTACAACCAATGACATGGTACATACAACCAATAACATGGTACATACTTACAACCAATGACATGGTACATACTTACAACCAATAACATGGTACATACTTACAACCAATGACATGGTACATACTTACATCCAATAACATGGTACATACTTACAACCAATGACATGGTACATACTTACAACCAATGACATGGTACATACATACAACCAATGACATGGTACATACTTACAACCAAAGACATGGTACATGCATACAACCAATGACATGTACATACTTACAACCAATGAAATGGTACATACTTACAACCAATGACATGGTACATACTTACAACCAATGACATGGTACATACTTACAACCAATGCATTCAGTCACATTTTTGTTTTTTTACAACGAGAAAAGTAAAGGACCCTTTTCGACCCCTTCAGACCCACTGGGTATATAGGGCTAGACCTATATTTTATAGACCAAACGATACTCAATGGATGATGTCAATATCTCGCTGACTGCCTTTACTTCCTATGACTTTTACCAGGTACCGATTTGAGGATGGTTCGCCTGGGTGTCAAGATAATTTGTAAAGAAAAAAAATATCCAGTAGATTTGAAACCACGACTTTCAGATCCATACTCTACTTCTAGCCACTACACCACGTCTGCTCTCCAATGACAGATTGCTAATCACAAAACCATGTCCCATATAAAAATGTTATCTTTTAAGGGTGTGAATAAAACCATAATTGTTACTTATGTATGCGGTTCAAACCTGATGATAATGTTTAGAAGTACATAAGTGATCTTGAGAAGTAATCTTGAAATGAAATTCATAAAATGCTTATGTCATTAAATAACACTAAAGTTTTGATATTTCTGAACACTGGTATATATAAGCAGTCATTAAACAGAATTTGTGCAAGAGACGCTTGCGTTACTATCAAATACTGTTTAGGTGATTTCGTAATACAACACCTGATATCTTTTGCATTATTCTGTTGGGCGAATTCTTGTCACAATGGCATCACAATTCGATGGAAAGGTTGCTATAGTAACAGGTTCCAGCGCAGGACTGGGGGAAGCTATAGCTCTTTTGTTTGCTTCCAGAGGGGCAAGAGTTACTCTGTGTGGCCGGGATCAAGACAGGCTGCAGTCCGTGCTGGACAAAGCTGTAAAGGTCAGTCGTGGACACGAGGACCGGTTCCTTACAGTTCTAGGAGACTTAACCGACGCAAACGTTCGGAAAGAAATACTTGAACAAACCGTGAACAAGTTTGGACAACTGGATATTCTTGTAGCTAACGCAGGTGTCGCTGGAGGTCGCACATTTCCTGATGAAACTGAAGACAACTACAACAGAGTTTTTGACACCAACTTGAAATCCGTATTTTTTCTTATCCAGAAAGCTGTACCTTACCTAGAGAAGACGAAAGGAAATATCGTTAGTATCTCATCTATTGCAACATCTGTTCTTATTCCATCTGAAACTACATATTCTCTGACAAAAGCAGCTCTGGACCACCTCACTCGGTGCTTGGCCGTTGACCTGGGATCAAAGGGTATCCGTGTGAATGCTGTGAATCCAGGATATTTCCCTACACTTATCGTCAGAGATAAAGGTGACCCAGATGTCATTAACAGATATATTGAGAAAGCAGAACAAAACCGAGTGCCACTGAAAGATCGAGTTGGAGTTTCACAAGATGTGGCTGAGGCGGTGGCGTTTTTAGCATCGGATGCTGCTGGCTTTATAACTGGTGAACTGGTCAAAGTTGATGGAGGAAGAAGCTATGCGGGCCCATTTACGCAGTCAGGTGAAAAATAAAAACTGTGAAGTCATTAATAGGAACAATATCTGAACCTCAGACGTGCCTGTACGTTCACTTATTTATCCTTGAAAACTAAATTTGATGTTTTTATTTTTTTAATTTTCAATTCGGCGGAGATGTTTAACTTTCCTGGACATACTGTTATTTTAATACACGGTTTGTAAAATGCAAAATAATTCACTATCATCATTAATCAGTTGAAGCACCTTTACAGAACGTTGCTCTTATCAACATACCGCAGAAAGCTATTCAATCCCCGGCAAGCTATGAAGCATCGTAAATTGTCATTTCCAGGGTGTTCTTTGTATTCTGCCACCGTCGGAACAGTAGTCGTCGGAGAAATTCTCTGTTTCAGGAACCACACCCTCCACTGATGTTCTTTGTAGATCATTTAAAATGGCCAGAGGTTTTTACTTTAGAAAAATGATATATTAACCTAATTACAGTGGAATGTACACGTACACGTAACTAGACAGCTGATCGTAACACAAAGTCCTATATTAAACTGTCATCTTGGAAATAGGTGGGGTAGATTTATAACACAGTTGTTGCTTTTCAATACAATTTTAAGTAGCTTGGTAATATCTCAAACTGTAAAAATTATCGTGAGATGTCATCTTTGAACTGTGAAATTAGCATAATGCTTTGTCATTAATTACACCCAAATTCTGTTAATTATAAACAGGGACTACAAGCGGTCACAAACAATTGTGTCAGTTATACAATTTTAAACTGGTGTTGCAATCAAGCACTTTTTTTTTTTTTAGTAACGGCGCAAAAGATGTAATTTAACACAAAATATTTTGGAGTAATCTTTTACACAAAATCTGCCCAGTATTGGACAGAAGTGATGTTATCAATACCATGCGCTGCACATACTATACTGAGAAGCACGCAGAAGGACATGACTCCGTAACCCTGTGTAGACTGACTGACATGGGGGTGCAGCCTGGAGCTGCAAGAAATGAATATTTCACTAAGGGGACAAGACGTTTTAGTAACCAACACAGAACAGGCGTTATCAGACGTTTTTTTTTTTTTTTTCAAATGCCGTACCTCACCTCCAAAACACCAAGAGAAATGTCAAGAACACCTCCTCTATTACATCATCTGTTGTATTCCATCGGCTCCTACACATTCGGTGAAAAAAGCAGCCCTCGATTATTTTACTCGTTGCTTGGCCGTACACCTGGCATCAAAATACATCCGTATGAATGCTGTGAATCTAATATAGTTCTCAAAACTTATCGTCAAAAATCTGGTGGACCCCGATGTTGTTAACAGACAACACCAGAAAGCAAAACAAAAGTGAATGTCATTAAAAGATGAAACCGGAGTTCCACAAGATGTGGCTAAGGCGGTAGCGTGTTTAGCGTCCGATGCTGCTGGCTTTATAACTGGTCAACTGGTCAAAGTTGATGGAAGAAGAAGTTATTCGGGTCCATTTACATTCCCAGGTGACACAAACATTTAGGAAACTTCTTGACCTGAAATTTATCTAAACAGCAGAAAAAAGCACGTGTATATAATTATTTATAGCGATGAACTATACGGTTTTCATACTTTTGTTTAATATATAATCCATAACCTTAGCACTTGTTGCAAAAACCAAATTTTCTCCTTGTCTGATAACGGAGCAGGAAAAAGTCTGAAACCTGGGAGTCATGACCAAGATCGGACCATTCCTTGAGATTGAATAGGATATCTAACTGGGCCCTAACATTTCTTGAAGAGGAGACTCACCTATTGACGATCGATAGTTACTGCGATGCATGCTCCCGTGGTGTTCTTCTATTATTATGTATACTTATAGAAGTTTATCATCTTTAGCTATGTTGTCATTTGAATAAACGGATTATGGATTGCCTACTTTATCTATTTACAAACTACGTAAAAAACAATACAAATTAATAGGTCAAATTAGAAATGGTTGTTCGTGAGACATAGTTTGAATATGTTTTCGGAACCGCCGATGTGTAGCAGCTAGACGATCGCCTGGAATTCAAAGATCTTGCGTTCAAATCCGAACAGTGTTGAACGTTTTCGATAAATGACCTTGGCTCCCGCCTTAAATTGGTACCAGGTAAACATCCTGACAAGCAAAGACGGCCGGCATGATGCTGACCACATCCCCCAACAACTACCGATTTTTTATATAAAGTATAGGTCTAACCCTATATGCCCAATACGCCTGAGGGCGTGGAAAAATGTTATTTGTGTGTTTTTATCTATGTGTATTATGTCTGTCTGTCTATCTGCATGTCTGTCTCTCTCTTTCTTTTTGGCATCTCTATGCTAATCGCAAAAAGAAAATGTATTTGTAAGTAGAAACGTAATAACAGAGCTTATTGTTAATTTGTGCCATGCCTACAGTTGACCTACTTCTGTGTTTGGGACAACTATGCGATGAGACATCAATATCCTCTACTGCTAGGTCAATTGCGTATTCTCCTAATGGACGCTGCAGAGCCAACAACAGCACTTTTTTGGCCGTTGCGGTTTTTCTGGATAAACTTACGTCCAGCAGTTTACCATTTTTTTTTGTCGTCTCTCGATACCACTGTTGAAACCAACGCAAGGTGGTCTGCTGCCAAATCGCCAGCAGCTGGGTTCGAACCCAGTACCTCGGCATTACGAAGTGAGTTTGCAACGCCTGAGCCACAAAAGCTGACATCTTCCACTGCACGATACTCTATTACAACTGTCTCATAGCGACCAACACGGTTTGACAAGTAGGCTACATAAATATTACGTGTTCATATTATCATTATATATTTTAACATTGAATATTTTCTTTTATACCTAAAGCAGCAGCACCAGCAGCAACAACAAAAGTTACTGAATACAATCTTCTTTCTTCTTCTTCTTTCCTCTACTCCTCAAATGCCTAGCGGCATCAGGGCATAAAAAATCTTTGGAACGGGTCCTTCTGTTCGCTTCGTATAAAGTACTTTTCTGTGTCTGCGCGGTCCATTTTCTGCGTGGTCGACCTCTGGGTATGTTACATCTGTAAAACATTGCTCTATTTGCTTCCTTGTCTGACTCCAGTCTTGTTCATTGCCCAGACCATTTCTTTTGTTGTCTACCTATAAAGTTCCTAATTGGTTCTGTGCCGACTCTCCTCCTGATAGCAATAAACAAAAAATTAAGAAGGACACGTGGAAACGAATCCCTGTATAGCCTGATCGAAATGCATAAAGGAAGCAAGAAGCAAAACATTCGTACAGACTGCGGTGTTCAAGTGAGATGGCAGACCATTAATATCAGTACTAATCGTTTTCTTTAATAATACTGATGAAAGGTTAGTGTTAATGATGATGATAGTGGTCATAACAGTGACTAACTGACGATGCGATAGCG